GTTTAAAGTCTTTCTGCTCCTGAACCGTAGCTCATAAATACCATAAGGAAAGTTGATGTTAAAGAGAGGTGTGTGGTGTGACTGGCTCAGGAGTAGTGTTGTTATTGCCTTACTCTGGGAATGCCACTGGGGCAATGGAAAAGATGGTTCTTGTTGCACGGTCCCTTAGGATGTGCTTGTAACACTCTTGGGTTAAGTCTTCTTCGATGCATTACCAGGAAACGTGTGTTGCCACCACAGCTCTAGGAGGTTTCAGGGAGTGATTTCATGGCATTGCAGAGTCTGGAAGTGCTGTGAGGTTCCTTGACCCATAGAGCCTTTGCCTTGCAAAGCCACCACAGTCAGTGTGTCTTCAGCAGCAACAGTATTTATCTGGAACAACCTGAATCCTCCCACAAGAAATGAAATCAAGTTTGTGTAATGCTTTGGGTAGCACATTTTCAGAGCCCAGGAATGCATTACATTCGATGGGCAACACTGGGGGCAAGAGGAATGAAGTAATCTGTGCACTGGTTAACAGACATCCTAAAGACACCCACCACTGCTCTGTGGTTGCAGTCCCAGAAGCACCCAGGTGTGGTACCCAACTGAAGGGGAGGCAGTCGATGTCCTTGAGGGCAGGGCTCCATCCAGAGAGCCCTGCAGGGGTGGACTGAGAGGAATCTCCTGAGACTCAGCAAGGACAGAGACCAAGCTGGGCACCTGGGATGGGAGAACCCAGCACAGGGATGAGGATCAGGCACTGCAGGGCTGGGGAGCAGCTTTGTGGCCTGGAAATCCTGGTGGCCAGTGAGCTGGACAGGGCCAGCAGCGTGCCCTGAAGGCCACCTGCATCCCAGGCTGTGTGACCAGGACCAGAGGCTGTGATCAGCCCTCTCTGGTCACTGCTCGTTTGACCACGTCTGGAATACTTGTCCAGTTTTGATACCACCACCACCACCCCCCCCCCCAGTACAAGAAGGTCTGTGAGAAACGGGAGTGAGCTCAGCAAAGGGCAGGAGCAGTGGCTGGGAAACTGTAGCCCTCAACACGTGAGGAGATGCTGGAAGGGAGGGGTTTTCCAGTGTGGAGACAAGAGGGTTTTGGGGATAGATCTGACAGCAGCTTCTGGGAACTGTGAGGAGGCTGTCAAGACACTGGGGGGTTGGAGAGGGCGAAGGAAAAGAGGCACAAACTGAAACAAGGTGTTCAGACTGGATATAAGGAGGAGTTTTTCCCTGCCAGCAGGGCCGAGCTCTGGAGCAGATTGTAGAAGTTGTGCCATTTCCAGCCTTGAGGATCTCCAAGACCTGCCTAGAAAATGGCCTGAGCAACTGAGTTGATGCTGCTGGTGCTGCTTTGCTCACAGGGTTGGACTGGAGACCTCCTGTGGTCTCTTTCAGCTGGATTATTTAGCTGTGGTTCCTCCTCTCTTGTTCTAGTCAAGCAGCATGGGAGGAATCAGCCATATTATCCTTCCTGTGCTGTCTTTGGTATGGAGAAACTTGGGAAAACCAAGAGGAGCTAAAGGAATACAGTGTTTGACAACACCTTGTCCCTGAGGTAAAGATGTAGGTCATGTGTGTCAGAAGTACTTTAAAGAAACACAAGGTGTTGTGTCATTAAGCAGCGTGAAGAAGATGCTGAAAGTAGAAGTGAGAGCAGTAGAAAAGAGCACAAGTGTTGGCACTTTTAGTGAGAAAGAAATGAAGGTAGAGCAAAAGAAAATTGAGGAAAAACTTGGTAAAGACATAAAAACTTGGGATGTTTTCTTGTGGTGCAGAAGCAGAACATGTTTCAGGGGTGTTCATAGCCAGAGGTGACTGAGGTGTGCAAGGATTCCAGGAGCTGGATCCTTCTGGGTTTGACTGAACTGGCCACACTGAAGGACCTCTGCAGGGGACACATCAAGTTAGAAGGTGGATCTTCAGGGATTTTAAAGGGACTCAAATGTTAAATTACCTTACTACAAATTGGGCTGTAAACTTGATGCTTAAGTCACTTAAGGACCCAGATGAGTGTAAGCTGGTAGGGACGGGACAGCTTTGGTGAGAGCTCTAAGGGGAGGAGAGAGTGAACTTGGGGGTTGTTACAGGTGAGTTGGGGCAGCTTTTGCACTGCTTATGGCAGTTAAAAGGTATGTCAGAAGTTGGAATAAGGAGAGCAGGGTACCTGAGATGGTTGTGGCAGTGGATCTATGTTTAATAGAAGAGCTGTTTGAAGGAGTCCTGGGACTGCCAAACAGCTTTTAGAGAATTCCCGTACTGAAACTGCAGAAACAGAACTGCTGCAGACAGCTCTTGAATTAATAACTGGTTAAAAGCCTGAAGACAAAAGGTAGAAGTGACAGGTTGTGTTTTGCACTGCAGGGAGAGAATCAGAGGTCCCACGTGAAGCTGGATTGCTCAGCACATCCCTAAATGATGTGGAAAAGAGCAAATAGTGGTGTGGCAAAGCTGCTGGTGGTGCTGCTGGGCCTGGCAACAGTTAGAGAAGGATTTCACCAGAGCCAGTTGAGTGTGCAGATGGTGGGTGTTTGTGTCAGCAAAGTAGTGCTGGGGGAGGAGGAGGCACCTTCAGAAGTAATGGGCTGTCCTAACTGTTGTCACTGGGAGAAGAAATCCCATTGTCAGGGTGGAGAGTTTCCTGAGAACACCCATTCACTGCTCTGCCGTGCTCTGAAAGCCAAGTGGACCGTTAAGGAGGGAACAGAGAACAAAGCACCACGTTAATTCCTCATGCTTCTGCAGTAAAGCCGGTGCAGTACTGCCTTGCTGCTTTCTGGAGGGGTGAAGCAGGCAGTAAAACACACACAGGGACCTTCGCAGAGGTGTGGAGAAGCTGCTGCTCTCAGGAGGAGTGAATACATTGACTTTTCTGCCTGGGAACGAGTTAGAGATGGAGGCTTTAAAATAATAAGTGTCAGAGAAGGTGAGTGAGGTGTGAGGGTTGTTTGTGACTTCTCATCAAGCTAAAATCAGATGAAAGTGAATCTGAAACAAGCAGAAGGAAGTAGGTTGTTTTCCCCAGCGTGCAAACTATGGAACTCATCGCTGCTGGATGTCAGAGGTAGAAATGGCTCTGCTCCAGGCAGGGTTCAGCCAGCTTGAGGTGCTTCAGGCCTTTGAGAGGATGCAGTCAAGCTCCCTGCAGCAGGTTGATAATGCAGCTGGTCAGTGCTTGTACAAGGGGATGGGTAGAAATGTACAGTCAGGGGTGAAAAAGCTGAACTGACCAAGAGAAGTCTCCTGTCTGACTTGATAGGGCTGTTCTGGAGCAATATGGGATGTCAGCTCTGGAGTAAGGACATGGTGGCAGTTTCTTCCTGCCATGTCACCCCATAGCAGCTTTCAAGCACGTCCCCAGCCACTCAGTCTCTTCCCTTCTGCATCTTCTCTCTGCTGAGGAGGTGTGGGAATAGGCACCACTTGGCAGCTCGGGGATGGGAGGTGCATTATTGTCAGTCTCTGGAAGGATGGAAGCTCACCTGGTGACCTTTGGTGTCTCTGGGTTTTAATGGAACATAAATAAAAGCAATGCCTGAGGCTATTCAGGGGAGCACAGGGGAAACGAGGGCTCCGGGGTGTGCAGCAGGGCTGCTGACAGCTCAACTGGCATCCACTTGATCCTGGAGACGTGGGGATGGTGTTTCCATTCCCCCTTTATCTGCTCTCTGCAGGTGATATCATGAATAGAATTCCCAGTAGGAATTTGCCACATTTATCAGTGGTGAGCTGTGGCTGTGTGAAACTGCTGCATTTATGGTTGCTTCTTGGTTCCTTCGTACCCTTTAAAAACGTGGCTGAAATGCAATGCCTCGAGTCTGGAATATTGCAAACCGCTGGAGGAAGAGTTACTGCTACAGTTAAGAGGAGTATTATGTTAAGTGCAGCTGAGAAGGAGGCTCCCTGCTCCTGCAGCCAGGATAAGACGGGTTTTCCCCTCTTACTCTTAGGTGCATGATCTATGAAGAAAGGTTGAAGGAACTGGGCATATTCTGTGTGAACATGGGAAAAGTGGGAGGCAATTATCTCCCAACCCAGAAAAGCCTCTTACAAGTGAAGTGGATCTGAGGAGGAGCACAGATAAGCACCTTTGTGAAGCACTCGGATGTGCTGCTGAGGAAAGCTGCCCAACTGCTTTTGAGAAGGATTTTCAGTACCTTCTTGCTGGGGATGCTGTGGGCACCATCTCCTGGCCATGGAAGCCAGGCTGTGCCAGCAGGACCTCGGAGTGTACCTTCTGCTCCCCATTTTCTAGAACCAAAACCTCACAAATGTAGTTCTTAAGCAGACCAGCAAAATTAAACAGAGGGTTCAGTACAGTTCTCAGCTACCTGGAACAATCTGAATGAATTTTAAGCCAAGCAGATGGTTTTACCACACCAGAACTGCTGCTCTTCCTGGGTTTTATTTCCTGTGCTCAGTCATCAGCAGAATCGGTACCTGCGTTTTGATTTTGCCTTTTGTTACAGAACTTGCTTGGCAGCTAAAAGAAGCTCTTGATTTTCTGGAGCAGTTTCTTGCTGGAGAAGGTCCTGCAGCTGGAATGATTGTAGAGGCAGTTGCTGGTGCCCGTGGGCAGGGAGCTTGATGTGTTCTGAGCCATCTTAGGGTGTCATTTGGGACAGCTGAAATGATATTTTCCCCTCACTCTCTGCATGAACCCAGGTTGTTCAAACTGGGGCTGACTCACTGATAAGGCTCCATTCTATCCTGTCAGGGTTTTTTAAGTTGTAAATTTGCTTGTTCTTAACCTGCATTGCAATTTTTATATATATATTTTTTTGCCCACGAGAGAAAGAAAGAAGATGCTGAGAAAATAAATGAAGTTTGTGCAGAGAACACAGGGGAGAATTAATGCTCATGATTCAGTTGAGGAGCTAAGCTTTGGAATTGTCTCCTCCTCCCCACATATGAGTCATTCCGTTGGTATGATGTCTTTCTCCAAAAATCTTGATGAGTTTTGCTGTGTGGGAATCAAAGTTCTGATACCAACTTCTTGTTTTCCTTCCCTTGCAGAGTTTGGTGTTCATTTAGCAGAGCTGACTGTGGATCCCCAGGGAGCTCTGGCCATCCGGCAGGTGAGTTTACCTGGAAAGGCAGAAAGAATTGGGATGGAACTTGCCTCCCTTTTTAAAGAGGTCTCTCATATCGGAGGCAGCTTTCTATGACTGTTCCTCTGCTTTCTTTTACATTCCTCAAGAGTCGTTCCTTTCTCTTAATCAAGTGTTATACACTTACCTTGTTTGAAAATAGGGCTTTTTGGACCTAACAAACCTGGTGCTGAGACAGTACTGGGCATAGACACAGCTGATGAGGTGGATGGAAGGCATCAACAAGCACAAGTGGGGCTTGTCTTCGCAGCAGCTTTTTCTGTGGGTGTTTTCCTCCTGGAAAAGGAACTTTAGGTTCTGTGTTTTCCTCACTTACAATGTGGCCCATATCTTGTGCCTTCTTGGAGGTGAGGAAGTAAAGCTACTGCCATGTGTCCGTGCTGTCCATTGCTCAATGGATGGTCATCAGTTCATCTTGTGGTGACTTTTTTGTCCGTATCAGAAAGGTTATTTCTCATTTTGACAAGCCCTGTTGCCCCTTTAAAAGCAGCACAGAGGGATGGGGGCTTGAGCAAACGAGGTAGGGGTGACCTTGCTGTGGCTGTTACTGACTCTTGACCTCTCTCCTGCTCCAGCTAGCATCTGTCATTTTGAAACAGTATGTGGAAACTCACTGGTGTTCTCAGTCAGAGAAGTTTAGACCTCCAGAGACCACAGAAAGGGTAAGGTTTGGTTTCATGTTGTCTACTTCGAGACACTTTATCCATCAAGAATATTAATTTTGTAGGTGGTCTCAGAAGGCCCAATGCCCTCGTGTATTTTGAGGATTAAGGGTTTCAGTTAAGGTTTTCTGACGTTTTCCACATTGAAAATCTGTTTTCAGTTGCTTAAAACAACACTAAACTTGAGCAGCTTGGGCTGGTTTCTGTAGGAAAAGTTCAGCCATAACGTTTCTGCTGCTCTAAAAGCAAGACTAGAAGAAAGGTGCTTTGTAAGTTGTACAAATACTGCTTCTGGCAGTTCTTTTTCAGAGATTTGCTAAATCTTGTGGTTTTCAGCTTTGGGACTTAAAGGCTGTTTTCCCATGGCAAGTGTCAGGTTAAAGGTCTGCTGAGTTTCATTAAAACTCTGTGCAGTAGGAGTGTGTCACGGCTGAAATGGTCAGATTCTGGCCCTGTTGACTGGAGCATCTTGAGGGTATGATTCATCCCATCAGAGATAATTGCTTGAAACAGATCTTGTGAATTATGCCCCAGAAGAAGTGGCTCTGTGTTTCCTGCCCCTTCGAAGGGGGACTAGTTCTCATTTACTGAAATCTTCCAAAGTAAGCAAACAGAGTCCCTGAGCGGAGCTGGGATGTGTCTCTCTAACTCTGGATGGCTTCCATGTAGATATCTACATCCTGTGGAAGTGCAGCTGTGAGCTGTTTACTGTGTGCTTGGCCGAGTGCTCTGTGTGACAAGAGCGCTGCGTTCAAACACACCCTGCGCTGTTCCAGAAGGAACTGAGGGGCTGTAGTGTGCAAGATTTGTCTCCTGAGTGTTCCTTCTGTGAAAGCAGTGCTGAATCAATATCAGGATACAGTCAGAGATGGATAGATAGATTTAATTGAATTGTTTTATGGCTGGGGATCTGCTTTGTTGAACAATGTTCCTCTCTACAGGCAAAAGTTGCTATTAGGGAGCTCCTACCCAACGGGCTGAGAGAATCCATCAGCAAAGTGCGCTCGAGTGTTGCTTATGCAGTTTCAGCAATAGCCCACTGGGACTGGCCTGAAGCCTGGCCTGAGCTTTTCAATCTCTTGATGGAGATGCTGGTTAGTGGAGATGTGAACGCAGTGCATGGAGCCATGAGAGTGCTTACAGGTATGTGTATGTGAGAGCTTTGGCAAGGCGGATGTAGGAAGTGGTTTAGGCTTTTCCTGTCCTAGCATTCTGTCACTTTTCACTCCAAATTGAAGCAATTGGAATTTGCTGCTTCTCCTGGGCATGATGCCTGTTGGTCACTGCTGAATCGCATGCCCAGCACAGGTCATGAAAGCTGAGGAAGAAGGTTCTATGCTACAGGTTGTAGCTCAGAAGGAAATCGGATTGCAGCACCCTGTTTTCCACATACCTGCTATTTTTAGTGTGCTGTTCCTCTCCTTGCCTTCAGGGATTGCCATGGGGAGGCCAGATGGCACTGGTCTAATAGAGTATGAATCGGCGTGTTCCCAAATTGCTTAGCATCTCCCAAAGATGCTGCTGCTGTTGCCTACAGATTTGTTTCTTGTAAGAACATTCCTTCTTTTTCCATGTTCTAGAATTCACGCGGGAAGTGACGGACACACAGATGCCACTTGTTGCCCCTGTTATTCTTCCAGAGATGTACAAAATCTTCACAATGGCAGAGGTATGATCTTCACTGTGAAGCTGGTACTGAGGGGCATTAGTGGGGATGTTTGCTGGAGCAGAGAAACTCCAGCTTTAATGGCTAAGCTGTACTGGAGCGTGAGTGAGACTTAAAGAGTTTTCTTGACGATGTGGTAGTTGTTGGCAGCGAGTGCTTCAACAGAACTGTTGAAAACAAGGATAAAATAAGAGAATCAAAGCAAAAAAATAAATACAGTTACAGTAAAAATAAAGGAAATAAAAGCATCTCGTGTTCCTGATCTGTTACTTAAACTTTTTCCTAGGTGTATGGTATTCGCACAAGGTCGCGTGCAGTGGAGATATTTACCACGTGTGCCCATATGATCTGTAACATGGAGGAACTGGAAAAGGCAAGAGTTTCACTTACAACGTACACTGAATTCAGACCGAGCGAGGTCCCAGGGAGTTGTTAAGATGAAAATGAAGTGTTGGAGAACTATGTACTCTGTCAGCTGTAATTCTGGTGAAGAGGGTGTAATTTAACGCATGTAAAGTGGCTGCCTCCCTCCTTTACATGCATGCCTGGATACTGTGACTTGGTTTCCATAATTGTTGAACTTGTGACATAGCAACAGCTGCTTGTAAGAGCTCAGAGAAAGGGGAATCAGTGTGGGGAGGAGACAGTGTATAATCCCTTAGTTGGAAAGCCCTGTTGTAGCTTCCATCTCCAGGTGAACCGTGTGTCCTTGTTCACTGCCAGGCCTTGGCCGTGTGGGTTATGATGGGCAGTTTTGTGGCCCTTGGGTGAGGTGTTAGTTGCAGGCTCCATCAGTTGCTTTACCATCCATGTTACCTTTTCGTTCCTAAAGGGATGGTGGAAGCCAAACCAAACAGCATTTTAGAACAGCTGTTAAGAAGAAGACGCTGCACAGTTTATGCACAAGTCTCCTGCCTGGCTCTGAGCACATCTGCATTTTATATGGCTTTTGACAAGTGGGTTTCTCAACACTCCCCAGGAAATCAATTGTTCTTTTTAACTTTTTGGGTTGTGAGGGTAGGAAAGGGTGACTCAATAAGGCGGCTGGTTGCTGCTCAGCGGCTCTATCTGCTGTTTCAGCCCTATTTGCACAGGGAACAATTCCATGCAGACTTTTGGGAAGTTGTGATGGTTATACCGTATCTGTACTGCACTGACAAGGTTACTCATGCAATCTTCAAGCATACAACTGTGCCTCTTAGCTATGGAGTTAGGGGGAATGGTCTCCATAAAACTCTTTTTGTCCAGTATTACTTGCTCTGCCAAGCACTGCTTCTGGAGTGCTTTGACATCTGGAAAAATACTTGCTGCATTTTCCTAGGAGGAATCATCATCGTAATCTTCAGGCCAGGTGCTGATACTCAACAAAGGGCTTGTTTGGTTTGGGGGAAGGTAGCTGAGGAGGGAGGTAAATGCCAGCCCCAGGGTTCAGTGTAATTGCTCATGTGTGGTGCAGTCACCCCACTTCTTTTATAGCCTGGGGGGGACGGGTGGTAGGTGCAGGGCATGATTCATCTCATCAAATCAAAGTGTCTCTCTGGATGGGGCTGGCTGGATCTCTAGAGTCTGAAGTAGGGGTGTGTTTTGCAGCAGCCGGTGCTGTGTGGTTTGGAAGGGTGGGATTCAGCTGAGCTTCCTTCCCAGCATGAGAGAGCCAGAGCGATGCCTGAAACAAGTGACTTTGCAATGTGCTGCAGTTGCCACGAGTCCCAGTTTGGGTTTGTAGCAGAAAAGTGTGATTTCTGTTGCTTGTGGTGCTTTATTGGTAGCTATGTGGGGGTTCTGTATCCGGAATTCACCTGTACTTGCATTGATTATCACCAGGGTGCAGCCAAAGTCCTGATTTTTCCTGTGGTGCAGCAGTTCACAGAGGCCTTTGTTCAGGCCCTGCAAATGCCTGATGGACCTACATCAGACAGTGGGTTTAAGATGGAAGTCTTGAAGGTAAGTCACTGATGGCAGATCAAATAAAGAATTGAATACCAACACCCTGTCAGATGTGCTGGAAAACAGGGACACTTGAGTGTGTGTCACCTCTCCTGGTATTGCTCATGTTAGGAATAGGTGATGTTTTTTGGATCCCAGTGCTATACAACATTGAAATAAATGGTTCTGCGTGTACTGAAAATACCTATGATGAGATCCATAGGGATGTGTCCATAAAATGACCCATAGGGATCGAGCCGTAGAACAGTCTGTCTTGTCATTCACTGATCTAAGACATCTTTGGATGCATATTGTCCAGACACCATACTCAGCAGTTAAATATCTGTCATTTCTAAATATGCTGTGGAATTCTGCAGCAGTAAAGTTTTAAAAGCTTGATATGTGCAGGTGCTTTTCTACAACTTGCCCGCTCTTTAATCTAAATGATCTTTGCAAAAGAGAGTTGGAAACCTTTGTAGTCTCCTGGTTTCCTGGAGAAGAGTGGAGGTTAGAGTGTGGAGATACCTTCTACAGCTGGGAAAGCACTGGAGTTCTGGGGTCCAACATGGGAGAGAAAGAAGAACTCAAAACCATGAGCTGCAGAATCAAATCCAGATCTTTCATGTACTTGCCTATGTGCTGGGGTGAGCAAGACCTGGATCACAGTGCACAGCTTTCTGAAGGTGGGTGGCTGAGGCTGTGCAGCCACGTTCCCTAAAGGAAATGATAAGGAAAGATTATTGAAGACAAGCATCAAAAGTTTTTCATAATGACCAGCTTTGCACTGGAGGCATGAAAATAAATGCTGGGAGGATGCTATTGTATTATTCAAATGAGCAGCTACTAAGTTCTGTGTTGTGGAACTTGTTTTCTTGGTCCTGGTGAAGGCAGCAGTGCCCTCGTTGTGGCATCCTGTCCCTGCTCAGGGAGGGGGGCAGGTATCGGACCCTGCCTACAGCAGGAGCTGATTTCTCACTGGGCAGCACCACATGGAAGGGAGCTTGGGGTAGGATGTTGGCGGGTTCTGTTGAGACAGCATCACTTGTGGGTTTCCTTTTATCTTTCCATTGGCTGCACACTGGGGTTCCTGGGATAGGTAGAACACTAACATGAGGGGGATACTTGAGGATACTCTGCGAGGTGTGATCTCGATTTGAACAGGCTGCAACTCCAGACTTGCACGTCCTGTGTTATCCCTTTGCTTCCCTGCACAAGAGCAGATATGATGAGAGGTCTGTTTGCCAGAGTCTGTGCAAGGGACTCCTGCCTGGTCAGGAGTGAGAGCAGGAGACCTTGGTGGCAGGAAGGCACTGGATTATCTTGCCTGTTAATGAAGCAGCAGCCTGTGATTTAACTCTTTGTTGGGGGTTTTCCCAGTCTCGCTTCTGATCGATATTCCTTTTTGTTCCAGGCTGTGACAGCACTTGTGAAAAACTACCCGAAGCACATGATTTCATCGATGCAGCAGATCCTGCCCATTGTCTGGAATACCCTCACAGAAAGTGCTGCCTTATATCCTTTGTGGGGAATGGTTTTAACTAGAACAGAACAAGACGAACTGTCTCATACACAGTAATGACCTGAACGCTGCTGAAGAGCATGATCCATGGAGTAGTCTGCCATGACAGACAGACTATAGGCATCTGTGGTGTAGCTGTGCTGGATAAGTGTTGTTTCAGTAGGCTCCATTCAGTTTCTTTTAGCTTAAAAATCACATCTGGTGAATGATGCAGGTGCCTGTGTTGGACTGGCTGTAGAATTGCAGCCGAGCTCTGCGTTGCTCCTGGTACTCATGGTGGAAACTGTCTTCTTAAAAAGATGGCTAATCACATTGTAAAGACTTCAGGTAAAGATGAATCCACAGTGTCCCCTGCTGCAGCAGTACTAGTGGCTGCTTGACTTGGTGCTGAAGTTGATCTGCTTGTTGATTTTTTAAGTCATTACTTCGCAATCAGCGTGTTAGAGCTGTTCTGTTGGGACCTTTCCCAGTACTTGCAAACTGACAAGTCAAATCTTACTATATTGTTAATGCAAAAGTTGCTTTTGTTCAGCTTTTTGTAATGAGACAGTAATTACATAATACTGAGCTGCCTTGTAGCTTTTTCTGACTCCGGTACAAACACCAGAATCTGACACTGTTGTGATAGCACTGTAGGGGTTGGCTGAGCTTCAATTTGCCATCCCCAAAGAACCTTCCTCCTCTACACACACAGGTTGGTTTTCTGGCACTTCTCAGGGTTGGGGGCTTGTGCAGAGGCCTGGCAGGGAGCAGAGCCAACATCAGGTAGCATGTGGGAATATGGGGTGGCAGCAGTGGGGTGTTGCACTGGCTCTCACTGTCTCCTGGAAAGAGGAGACAATGTTAAGTTAAAGTCAACTGCAGAGACTGATCAGGTAGTCTTGGAAACTGGGTAATGCACAAAGCCAGGACGTCCTGGGGCTTGTCCCCTCTCTGAAACACAGGACTGTGTGTGAAGTCAAAGGCTTACTTCTTTTTTTTAAGACAGAAACTTCCCTGTTTATCAGGAATTTTCAGATAGGAAGAGATTAATTCCTAAATAGATGCAGTTCTTTAAAAACATGCCTATTTCCTTATCTCTGTCCACTTATGTGAGAACCGAAGTAAATTACACAGAAGAGGTAGAGGACCCTGTGGATTCTGATGGTAAGAACGTGTTAAACTGCACTTCTGCCTTTTCTTTAGAAGGAATGGACTTACCTAAACATTACTGTTGTCAAAATAGTGACTGAAACACTGTAGGAGATTGTGCTTAAGGGTATATTTATGGTGTTAGAACAGCGCCCATCACTTCTTTGCGAGTTTACATGTGGTTGTGCTCAATGAAGCTGCATAATTTAAGTTTTGTAATGACTCAAGGAGTGAGTTTTGTAACAATCTTGAGGTAAAAGTAATGGGACAAAAGAAACCCAAACAGGTTTAAGGTTGAGCTTGATCAGTTTTAATGAGGGGTGTGTGGTGAGGTGGGACGAGGTCAGGCATCCTGGGGCTGCTGCTGTCCTTGCTAGTCCAGGAGTAAGAATAAACATCAGGCAAGCTAATAGTTTGTCATTATATCTGACAGCCATTTATACCTTTCTGTATATTAGCATGTTCAGTCATGGGGTTTATTTCACTTCTGCCTTCATGTTGGCGTACTCAGACATGTTCTGTTTTCTCACTTTGTTCAGGTGAAGTGTTGGGATTTGAAAATCTCGTGTTCAGCATATTTGAATTTGTCCATGCCTTGCTGGAAAACAATAAATTTAAGAGCACAGTGAAGAAGGCTTTGCCAGAGCTGATTTATTACATCCTCCTTTACATGCAGATCACAGAAGAGCAGGTGAGCATGTTTGTCTTGTGCAGGAAGCAAATGAACTGAGAAGGTTAAAACAGCTAATGTCTTGGGGAGAGTGTCAGTGTGTGTAAGCTGCTCTAAGAGGCTGTTCAGTCACTTTGTTGTGCCCAGGAGTTAGGGCCCTTGTCTTTTTGTTTAGGTAGGCATGCATAAAGCCAGGCACTCTGTTAGTGTTCATCTGCTTCTCTCATTCCTCATCTATAGATAAAGCTGTGTACCATTGATTCCAGGTCAGTCATTACTTCTGCCAAACTCTGATCTCAAATGGGGAGCTAAGAACAAAGAGAGAGTCTCTTCTTTTCAAAGGTTTCTCCAATAGAATGTAAAGATGGTGACTTTTTATGGCAGAGGAAAATTCTGAAAGTAGCTTTACAAGCCTGAGGTTACTGGGAACAGAAAAGCTTCTCTTTATCCTTTGTGTTTCATCACCTCCCCAACCCTTTTTGTCTCTTTTCTGTTCTAGATTAAAGTTTGGACTGCAAATCCACAACAGTTTGTGGAGGATGAAGATGATGATACTTTTTCCTATACAGTGAGGATTGCCGCACAGGATCTGTTGCTGGTATGAAATGTGTTCCACATTTAGATGGAACCAAAATACTAACAAAGAACAAACCTAGCTTCAGGAAGGGGATTCAGAGAAAAGGCCAACTTTTAAAAGTCTCTGTAAATTAAGTGCTGTCATCTCCTTCTGTGCAGGCTGTGGCTGCTGATTTTCAGAATGAGAGTGCATCTGCTTTGGCTGCAGCAGCTACAAGACATTTACAAGAAGCTGAGCAGGCTAAAAACAGTGGTGCTGAGCACTGGTAAGGAGATGGAGCAGCAGGGAACAACACTGGTACAAACCTGCTGTGGTGTTGGGTGCAGCACGATTTAATCACATTGATTTTATGACACTGCTGCTAATGGACAGGGATGAAATTTGGGAATCCTGAGGAGAAGAAGAAGGAGGAATTACCACTCTTGAGCCAGTTTTGCAACTGTTCATTTCTTGCAGGGCTTTTTTTAGTTCTCTGCTTTGGGGTGAAGAAAATTGTTATCATAGCTTAGACCACTTCAGAATTTGTATTTGTTTCTTAAGGTGATGACAGAGGAAAAACCTAAAGGCATCTGAATTCTTTGGCAGGTGGAAGATACATGAAGCTTGTATGCTGGCCCTGGGCTCTGTGAAGTCAATTATTACAGACAGTGTGAAGAATGGTAGAATACATTTTGATATGCACGGCTTCCTGACAAATGTTGTTCTTGCAGACCTCAACCTTTCAGGTATATTGGATCTTGCCATTACTGAGAGTAAATGCTGAGTGCCAGGCCCTGGGAATCTCTTCCAAACAAAAGTGTCTGATGAATCAGGTTGCTGTATGCATGTGATGTGTAATGTAATGCAG